CATTGGCCCTAGTCAATATACTTAATGAAACAAATATAGTTGTTATTTCCCCCTGTTTTAACTTTCATTCCTCCATACATGTATGGTGTACAGGTTAGCTTTTCAGAGTGGTTTTTGTCCAAAGGTGGCTCACGTCTGAGTATCCAGAGGATGTGGGATCCAGTTGCATATGCCCTTGGATTTATTGACTGTGATAATATTAGTGCTCGTTGTATGCTCACCATATTTGCTTTGTTTGCCACAAAAACTGAGGCTTCCCTTCTGCGAATGCTGAAAGGTTCACCAGATGTTTATTTGAGTGGCCCTATACGAAAGTACATCACAGACAGGGGGGGCAGGTATAATTTTAATATGGAATGTTGCCAAGACTATACACCTCCCTAGTTAGAATCTGATACATTGCTTGAACAGGTTCCATCTTAGGTGGGGATGCAGAGATATACTTTATGATAAATCTGCTGACGGGAGCATGTATGTTACAGGACTTTCCATGTCAAAGGTGATATAATCTGTGTTCTTTTCTGAAGTCTCTACATGGTTCTTCATGATTCTTTTAAGTGACATTCCCAAGATAAAATTGTGGAAGTATTTGGCCTTTTGCAGGAGAACAATAAGGGCTGTAGTTCAGATACATTAGTAATCCAAACCTGGCTTTTATATTTAGAAACAAACTCTGGCTTAAATTTTTATCATGCCATTAAGCTCACAAGCCACCACTTATTAATACTAACTGTTATATCGGCGCTGCATTCTGCCTTGGGATAACTCCAGTCTTGAGCGTCATATAGTGAAATTTGTTGCCAAACCTGCCCAGCATTGATCACTTGTAACAGTTCAATAAAAGATTTCTTGTATCGTGGTTCATGAAGAATTGGTATGCCAAACATAAATTGAGAAACTTATCTTGCTAAGACCCTGAGAAATTACTGGTACTTGCAGATCGAACTGTTGACTTAATTTTTTTCTTTTTTAAATTTATTTTCCCTTCATTCTTCCATGAGGAATGTGCGCATATAATATCCTTTTGAAGTTAACATCTCTATTATTTCGCAGGCTACTAACAAAAAAATTGTGAAAGCTGATGCTTATGTTGCAGGTTAGAAACAGTCATCTAGTTATTTTTTGTATTATATTCCCATACTGTGGGAATCTTTTCTGATGCCTTCGAATGTCATTAACATGCATATGGCAGCTTGCGATGTCCCTGGAATTAAGAGATTAATTCCGGCAGAGTGGAAGGAACAGGAATTTTTCAAGAACATATATGAACTAGTTGGAGTTCCTGTGGTCACAGTGCAACTCAGATACAATGGCTGGGTCACAGAGTTGCAGGATCTAGAAAAGTCAAGGTGATTTTCTTGATTTTAAGGTCCATATGGAAACCATAGCACATGCTTTTATTTCACTGGTGACATGTTACCCTTTAAGCATTCGAATTGTGAAATTTCTTTATGAATTTTTCCTTTTTGACTGACAGGCAACTGAGGAAAGCTGTTGGGTTGGATAATCTTCTTTATACTCCAGATGCAGATTTTTCTTGCTTTGCAGATCTTGCACTCACATCTCCGGAAGATTATTACATTGAGGGACAAGGATCATTGCTTCAGTAAGGATTTTGCTTCCGAACAATGATATTTGGACATGCTTCTAATTCTACATCTTGGCTTTCAGAAGGACTTAAAACTTAGTCACTAACTTGGAAGTATGCTTTAACATTTAGTTTTGTGTTGACCCCCGAAGTACATAATGTTATTTCCATTTTTCAGATGTGTTTTGACGCCAGGCGATCCATACATGCCTTTGCCAAATGAAGAAATTATTTCAAGAGTAGCAAAACAGGTAGGATTGGGGGAAAACCCTCTTCCCTTCTACTGTGATAATCACATTGTAGATGTATTATTGACGCTGAAAAGTTGTCACACAAGGAGCTACTACCATGGTTTTGATACCTGGAGTTTCTTGTGTGTTTTGAGTTGCTTTGTTAGACCTGCATGTCCGTTAATTTCACTTGTATTTTTGGGATTGCATCGGCTCAGCAATTTCTATGGTTAAGCATCATTTATTTTTCACTGTTATGTTTTACAAAATCTTTATCAGGTTCTGGCACTGTTCCCATCATCTCAAGGTTTAGAAGTGACTTGGTCATCTGTGGTTAAGATTGGGCAATCTCTGTACCGGGAAGCACCTGGTAAAGATCCGTTTAGACCTGATCAGAAGACCCCACTGAAGAATTTCTTCCTTGCTGGCTCTTATACAAAGCAGGTTAGATTTATCACCTTGGATTTTCTTAGTTAGCAATATAGTTGTGCCTTGGCCTATGCACTTAAGACAACCGTGATAGAAGCATGCCAAAATATTTTAATCTGAAATCTATGGATCCTACATAGTTATTATATCATGTTTTAATTCCTTACTAGGTTCCTGGGATCTCTTAAATCGATTTATTACAGTGAACTGGCTCCATTTATTGGAGAAAGAATTTCCTGTTTGCTGATCGCTTTCTGACTGTTTCCAATGTGTACTGTAAAAGTACCACAGCAGTCCTGTATAATGTTCGTCAATCGGACAATGTCTGGACTTTGAGTTTTCCTGATTGACTTCTTGGATGCTGCCAGTCGCATTTTGTCATAACTTATAGAGCAACAGATGCAAGGTGCCTACATCGATTTTACTCGTGTGATGTTGCAACTTGTTTATGAGAAGCCGTAGGAGAGGACACCTATAAAGGGGGGTGGGGGGGACGAAACGACAGAAGGATAGTAGTATGCCTTTTCAGTCAGCTTGTGCATGTCTAATTTTGAACTCAAGGGCAAACCACTATTATGCTGAAGTTTGTACCTAAATCCATTTGAGCTTTTGTCAAACCCTTAATTTAATTGTTCTTCAGTTTCTAGCAGTTTCAGAGCAGTTCTGAGATTTAAGTTACATTGGCATAGGTGACTTGTATAGTGAAGTTGTGTGTACATTTTAAATACTGGAAAGGCTAAAAGAGATAATTTGGGCAGGACTACATAGACAGCATGGAAGGTGCAACGTTGTCTGGCAGGCAAGCTTCAGCCTACATATGCGCTGCAGGGGAAGAACTGCTGGCATTGCGAAAGAAGCTTGCTCTCGAGTTTCAAGACCTCATTCAAACTGCAAATACTACAGATGAATTGAGTCTTGTTTGAGAGACTATCATCCTCACACAAACCACACAGAATTACACTTACATATTTGCCGACTAGGGAATTACAGCGATGTGTACTAGGCTTACCCTTCATGTAATACTCCTGAAGAAATGTAATATTGAATTAAAAAAAGAAAAGCTACAATGTTTGATAGTCATGGGGAAACGGTTCGATCTGTGCAACTAGCGATGCTTATGATTATGACGGTAAGAACATGCTCTGGTCTTGGCTTCATGATTACAGTAAATTCGCTGGTAGTGTTATGTGATCTGAGCAAATGCGGGGAGGTTGCAAGATTGCTTACAGCAGACAATTGTTGAAGCATATGAAATTTTTGAGGATCTTTGCGTAGGCGAAATCCTATCAAGGAGACGGAAGTTGAAATATGATCCACGAGAGCATTTGGCAAAGAGGGTAGCTGATGACGGGTAATCATCTAACAACGAAGGGATGATGCGGATCTAATCAGAGTCTTGCGTTGTTTCAAGCTTTCAATGTTGTGTCGTGGGTTATTATATTATCTTTAATTATAATTATAAGATCTTGTTTGTAGACTAAAAACAAAAACTTATAATTAAGACTGAAGATAATATTTACTCAAGCGGTTGTTTAAAACCTTAAAACTATGGCCCATAGACGCTTTCTAAGAATCTCAGATTCCTGATCGTGAGATTTGTGCGTACTTCAACTCCATGATTTGCAAAACAAAACATGCGTTCCGGCAATCATGACAGCTCAGGGATCAACGTGCTCAAAATCCGGTAAGAGGTGGCTTATATTTATTTTTATTTTGGGGCAACAAACAGCTCTAATTTTAGTGAAATCCTGGTCAAATAATAATAATAATAATAATAATAATAATGGAAAATTAATCTTTTGACACCTTAAGGTAACTTAATTATGCTGGATATGATTCAGTCATCAACTTTTGATTTGATTAAAATTCAGTCCTTAATATTTGATCATTCAATAAATGAATCCTTATCATATAAAATTCACTTTGAGCCGTCACCTAACCGTCTTATGTGACAAAACACAATACTGACACAGCTCTCAAATAAGCTCCACAATGTCACTGAATCCACAGTCCCTCTCCCTCCCCTGTTTTCCCGAAACTCGACGGAAATGATGATGACCCACACGCAATTGACCTTTGATGCTCAGTGCTGAGATCACACAACAAAAGAAAATCACAGGACCACGCTAACACTCCTCTAACACACAATTTGGCTGTAAAGATGCTTAGAAGCATTAAATATAAGGAAAACTTTAGAATCAACACACACCATAAAGTGGAGAGCAAAACTCTAGAATGAACAATAACCACAAGGTAAAGAGTAAGCAAATGATGGAATCGAGAATGGAGACAATCGTTAATTTTTTGAAAAAACAATGCAAACGTTAATTAATCCACAAAATGGTGCTGCAAAATGATGGATAGTGAGTAAGGTTACATGTGCTGTCTTGGGAGAAGGAGAAAGTTGCAACAAAGGAAAAGAGTATGAAAAGGCAAAGAACAATGCAAGAGGTTGTTAATGCTTGCAGTTTATGGCCATGGTAAAAAACGGTTAATCCATAACTACAATAAGCTTGCACACTGACGGGATGTTAACATTATTATATGTGGCCTTGCCCATCGTCATTCTGTTGAGCTCTAGGAAAACGAGGAAGGGACTCTGAGTGATCATTGACATTGTGGAATTTATTTGGAAATCATATTAGCAATATCGAACGGTTGGCTGATGACTCGAGATGAATTTTATACGATAAAAATTTATTTATTAAATGGTAAAATATTAATGACTAAGTTAAAAGCTGAGAGATGGACTCTTTGAAGGACGAAAACATTAATTTTTGCTAATAATAACAACAGAATTAAATTGTTTGGAACGAACGACTTGACCTTGGGACTTGGCAGAACACAAATGCAGGCAAATAAGAGAAAACAAGGGGCAGCCTCAAAGCAACGATGAAACAACATTTATTATTTCGGTTACAAAAAGCGAAAATGAGAAGAAAACACAGCAAGAGCGACTAATGCATCATACAACACATCCTATCCGGCACGATCATCATTTGAGCCCCGGTTCATAAGCGGCGGACTGTCTCCGAAGAGAGTGTCATAGCTTCTAGAGTCCATGGTGCTCATCGGCAAAACTCCTTGTATGGAAAGCCATAACTTTCATTAGAATTCCGGAGGCTTATCGGCGATCTCCTTGTCAATGGTGTTTCTAGCGGTGTCAAGATCCTCGTCAAAGAACATATCCCAGTGGCCATCCCACTTGATGAAAAATTCAGTGTCCTCGTAGTATTTCACTCTATGCACATCCCCAGGCGGAGTGAACAGGTAATCCCCAACAGTCAAATCGTATCTCTCCTTCTTGCTCAAATTCCAGACGCTTTTCTTGCCCTCGATCACCACCAAATCGTGACCAAAGGTGTGGTGATGCGCCGGCTCCACGCTCCCCGCCTTGAACTTCACAAAAGCCGACGTGGGGGTTTCTCTCAGAATCTTCATCGATCCACCTGGAATCATATCAATCGGATTCAGTTCTCGGTTCTTCACCAAACAACAAACCGCACAGGTATCCACCACTGGCGCTGCCTCCCCAATCTTGGGCATCTCCACCAGCGCGTTGTCGAGAAACGATTGAATTTCATCAGGCCATGGCTTGTTGTCAGATGCAGGGCATGGGGATTTGAAAGGAGTATTGAGCCAGGTATCCAGAATTTCAACGGCCGATTCAGGGGAGGTGGACGTGCCGGAGACGGCGAGGACATTGGAATTGTTGATGGAGCGAGCATTGCGAGCGTCAGAGGGGTTGAGGCAAGTGGCGGCAAAGACCCCCGGGAATTTGTTGGCGAAGATTGAGACGCCGGCGCCAGTGCCACAGGCAACAAGGCCACGAATATCAGGGGAGGGGGAGGAGGAAGACGAAGAATCGGAAACGCGGCGACCGACCTCGGCTGCTATTGAGTAGTAAGAGGAGGTACCGAGATCTTCGACGTCAATGTTAAGGGAACGTAAATGGGAGACTAAAGCGTCTTTGAGAGAACAGCCAAAGGCGTCGGCGCCTGCGATAATTTTGACAGGGCGAGTGGCGGCAGCATCGGAATCTGCCATGGCGATGACGACGGTGGTGGTTTCACCGGCTTGCCGGAGATAACTGGGATGAGAGGTCAATGGATGAGTGACACACCCACTGTCGTCGCTTGTTGATAGCTGACGCTATAAGTGCAAGAAGGCTTCCGTCTCAGCTCTTCTAGATGACGAGGAATCTAGAAGCGTACAAGCAATCAAGCCAAATGAACCTGGTTTGTACTGGGAGTGATTGTAACTCTCAAAAAGTAATTCGTAATTCATAAATCGTAAAAATATTTTGAAAATCATAATTTAGTTACTATATAAATATCCCTCACGCTGGTTAATTGATTTTTTTTTTTTTGACCTGAACACTGATTAATTGATAAAACACTACAATTGCTCCTATTCCTTAAACAGCTTAATTTCATCTTATCTTTTCATTCATTCATGAATCTATCTAGTTGCCAAGCGTGCAGACACTTATATTTATTAAAGAAGCATTTATGTGTACCAAGGACATGGATAAATTAATTACCAACCTTATAAATCATCCATCTTATCTCCTCCGCTCTAACACGAGTCAGGTGTAAAATAATAGTATTAGTATAGACACAATGTAATGTAATCTCGGTATTATTATTTAGTAATTGAAATCAATAAGTAGAAGCAAATCTCAAAATTTTTATACACACGTTGACATAAAAATGAAAGTTTCCCTCATTTTTCTTTTTCTTTTTTGTCATCATCAAATTGTTTGTATTTCTAATTAATTTTATAACAAAACAAATAACCTTTTATTCTTCTACCCACATTTTAATTTTATCATCCATGCATTATAATTTACATTTTATTTTATTTATGAGCTGACATATATTTTTCAAATATATTTACATTCATCCCTAATTCCCTACCGTTATTTTATAACTTGCGAGTCTTGTATATTTCTTAAAATTTCTAGAGAAAACTAATTTGACGGTTCTTATAGGTCATAAGATTTTGAATCAAATCTTTTTAGTTTTATTTTTTCTCATTGAATTTTACAGTTTATTACATTAAATGGGTAGGTTGTTCCGTTAAAAATATTCCTAACATCGTTAGTGATTTGTAACATGGCATTGACAAAGCTGCACAAGGACCTGCTTTTTCTTTCTCTCCTGTAAAAGCTTGTTGCTTTCTCTCATCTCTCAAGCCAGCCACACTAGTTTATGCTGCCAAACCATGGTTTGGGAAAAATCACCCAAACACCTTTAAAAAAACTAAAATTATAGTTTTGAGTCAAAACCATGGTTTTGGAAAAAGTAAAAAAATTTTGCTTTTGAAAAAAAAAAAGGAGAGTGTGAGAGCCTATAGAATATGTATCTTGTTGTTTTTTAAAAACATATTTTTTATAAATATATTTAATCTTATATCTTATAAATATATATACATATTAATTATTTATTAATTATATTATCTTATGTATTATTAATTATGTTAATAAAAAATATATTATTAACAATTTTATTCCTTCAAATTAAAATATATCATAAAATATATTTTTTCTGTAATTATCATATTAACTTATGCCTTTTTTAGTAATTTGTATATGTAAAAAGTATTTCTGATAACAACTATCCAAATACTCTCACTTCTCAGAATCAATTTTTCACAAATTTTATTTTTTAAAAAATCTATTCTCCACAAGCTCTTTCTCCGTCAACTTCAGCTTCCTGCTTCCATGAGCCTCGCATCCTGACGTGGCAATTCCAATTGGAGCTTCCGATGACGCTGCTTGCTTCTTTTTCGGTGGGGGTAACTGGGTTTATCCCAGATATGATTAACTTTGCAAATGGAAATCACTCAATATGACAAATTATATGCAGCTGCATATTTTTTCCCGAAAATATTAACAGAAAACTAACTTAATTTTTATTTTCAAAAAATTGGGTAGACATATAATCCCCTAATTTGTTCAAGCTTTTGGTAATGATGGGTCTGTCATATTCCCATTGGGGTATTTAATTCAGAGTCAGACTTTACTGACAAAACAAGGCCTTTCGAAAAAATAGTTTGTGGATGTATACATAAACAAATGCCTGCGCTTAGCGCAATGATACAGAGGCATTTTAACCACATTCGGTGATCATTGATTACAAAATCGTGCTTCGGTTTCTGGTACAACCGTGAGTTAGGAGAAGCCCCGTAGATCTGAGGCCGAGCAGCAACACGTCAAATACAGAGATGTTTTTCACTTCTCTAGTGATCTGAACCCAGTTGCCACCGCCGAGAAAGAAACGCCATTGGAAGCTCTGATGACCATTGACACTTCTTCGGGGCGGTGCATATTGGTGTCCTGGCTGCAGATGAGAGAGAGCAACTAGCTTTCACAGGAAAGAGAGAGCGCAGCTTTTTCAATGCCACATCACAGCTTATCAACGGTGTTGGGAGAATTTTGAACAGACAGACTTGGTCATTTAATGTAGGGCTAAGGTGTGTCCGGCACTTTGAACTATTTATTCAGGTGCGTCCAGTAGCTTAAAGTAATTTTGGATGCATCAAGTGTACTAAACTAATTAAAATGGTGCGTCCATATCCCAGGCTAACAGAAATGTTATGTTTAACTGTTACTTTCCTGACTCAGCTTAAAGTTGACCCCAGATATTCTAAATGGTAGACATATGGACATTTAATATGTATTATTTTTATTCAAAATTGAATTTATTTCCTTCCTCTTCTTCTAAATAAATTGACTTTTGAGTAAGAATAATACACATGGGGTGCCCATGTGTCTACCATGTAGAATATCTGGGGTCAACTTTAAGCTGAGTCAGGAAAGTAACAGTTAAACATAACATTTCTGTTAGCCTGGGATATAAACGCACCATTTTAATTAGTTTAGGACACTGGATGCATCCAGAATTACTTTAGGCCACTAGACGCACTTGGGTAAATAGTTCGGGGTGCTGGGCGCATCTTAATCCTTTAATGTACTAAATGCCAAGCATTCAATAAAAAAGAAATAAAATCAGAAATACTTGATTCAAAATGTGACAAAATTATAAGGCCAGTCAAATTAGTTTTGTCAAATTTTTATATTAAAATATACAAATTCTAGTCCTAATTATAAAAACTAGTTAACTAATTTAAAAAGATTAAAAAAAATAAGTTAAGTTGGTTATTTGTAATAAGTAAATGTTATTTTTCTTAAAATATCCTAACTAATCAAGTGTATTGGTTAGAACTACTATTATTAAAAGGACTATTTTAAAAAAAAAAGATAAATATAAGAGACAAAATAAATTAGGGTATTATATTTAGGATTAAAAAAAAATCAAACGACATTTTAGAAAATAACTCTGTATTTCACTTGCATTTAAATGGTTCCCAATATCGCTTATTTTATTTAATACCATACGATGAAGTACATGTTTGGTTGGCCTCCTACTCCACTCCCCCAGGTCCCCATGTATGTGATTTATGGATGATGTTTAATTTAACACCGCAACTGATAATTGAGGGGATTCATTCACGTAGTGCCCACTAACCAGTAACCACAACCACACGATATTGTTTTTTGAAAAAGAATAACAACAGGCAGAGATTTCTCAGGAGAAAATGAAAAATAGGGAAAATAGGGTTACAATGTTGGGGAAGGAGAAAGAAAGAAACAAATGGCGAAAGTGTTATGGAGAGCTGGGCCTGCTGTGACATGCCTATACTACCAGGTATCACAGGCAGAGGGGTTTTGGTTATAAGCTATAAATTCTTCCGTCCGTTTTTTAATTTCAATTTTGATTAGATGCTTGAATTGCAGAGAATCCATGGCGTTAGATGCTGCTCAACCACGCCTCATAAGAGAACTAATTATGCTTCCCTCAATCCACAAACGCCTCCCCCTTTGAAAATGGCCGTAAGTGCCGTCACTGAGCTTTTGCGCTTCTTCTCTCCTTCGTATCCAACAAGGTGCCTTCGAACTCCTTCACTATGCTTCTTCTCATCCTTACTATTTCTTCTTGCTTCGCGCTGATTTTCAGCATTTTGCTTAGCATCACAGATGAACAATCAGATGAATCCCCCGTGTCAAGCGTGGATGATCTTCTACTCATCATTCAATCTGATTACGTGAATGCTTATTTTGTTACAGGTTAACTTACCACTCTTGCTGCTTTATTTCATGCCCGCTAAAACTTACTGATGCTGCTTGCATCGATTCCATTAGCAGACATAACTGATTTTCCTTCCAAGTTTTCTCCCATGTAACCAGGGAATTTCACGCCTTCTATATATGCTGAATATTGCATCTTTGAAGATCCAACTATTAGCTTTCGGGGTAAGTAGAATCAAGGACTTTTGGTCGTCCGTTGCATCAAATCTTTAAAACCTCAGAAGGGCTTTCTGGGGGGAAAATAAGCTTGAGAGTGGAAATTTGGCCAGTAACTAATTAAAACCAATGATGATGTGTGGTCATCAATTCAGGTAGGGAGTTGTATGCGCGCAACTTGAAATTGCTTGTTCCTTTCTTTGACCGTGCATCAATTACACTTCAAAAGATTGAAAAGGTAGTTTCCCCTTGTAAATTGCCATCTGATATTAAGCAGTTAGTTGTAATTCCAAATGAAGATGCTTAATGTGGCCTGTCTTTGCGCTTGGAACTCTGAATGACCGGTTCCGGTTTTCATTATTCCCTGCCTTTAATTCTAAGGTATTAATTAGCCTCTTGAGATTCACTATTTATAATTCATTTCACTGCTTATAAGAGGCAGGTCCACCTTCACGCTTTACTCGTGATCTGATTTCAAATGGCATGCAGGTTGTTGCTTCTGACACGAACTTTGTTGCGGCAACCTGGAAACTAAGGTGCTCAAACCCACCCCCCCCCCCAAAAAAAAAAATCTTTGTTAATTTAACATTAAAGTTACTTTGTTTAAACGCTTCGTAATTCGCATATTCCCTCAGCCCAAGCTAAATAGATATAAGGAACGTTATCAGCATTATTAAAGCCCTTGCCTTTGTCTTTGTCTGATATGCAGGACTAACTTGAAGCTTCCTTGGAGACCTCTGATTTGTATTGATGGAAGCACTCTCTATGAATTGGATGAAAATTTCAAAGTTAGAACAAAATAGTACAACCTTATCTTGCCGCCACATGCATTTAAACTGATTTTTCTGCGCTTCCAATTATTCTACATTGATACTAACTGTTTCTTGTAACTTGTTACCCCTTTCTTTTGGAGACAGATTGTGAGGCATGTTGAGAGTTGGAATGTTTCTGCACTTGAAGCAATTGGCCAGATTTTCAACTTCAACTCCGGAAATTCTGTTGGGTGAACAGTTCCTACTTTGCACCCACGTCGATTTTCAACTTTCAATCTGGATGTGAATTGACAAACTGTATATACATTAACAACATAATCAATGGCTTCTAGTTCCTCAGAAATTAGGGGGAAAAGCAATGAACTTTGAAGTTACATAAATAATCCGCTTATTTCAGGCTAATTTTTTGGATTGTGTGATAAGTAATAAGCTTAGGTAACCATAGTACGTGAATAAAATGGTAGCGCAATTGCACTACTTGGTAGTTGGTACTTAAAATTCATCTGGGCTGCTTTAATATTTTGAAATTCCTTTTCTTTTAATAAAGAAATCTGGACGGAACATAAACATGAAAAAAGAGGAAAGAGAAAGGGAAAGGAGAGGCCAGCTTTCTATCTGGATACGTACACTACATAATGATTCAAAGGTGGAATTGCAATGTCGCTTTGCTTTGAAGTTTTCAATTTCAAGGTAAACGGTCTTCTGACCTTTGCGCTTCATCCTCATCATTGTTGAATAAACTGTCTCTTGGTCACAGCTCACGGGTCAGCCAAACTCCTCTTGAGGGTCATTATGAGTTTTAAAAAGAAAATAAATAAATAACACAGCTTTTATCAGAGGAGCGTTTGGTCATCATCATGGTCTCAACTTATTTCATAACCGAATGCTATAACGAAACGTGAAAACGACTGAAGTTTAGGTTGTTGTTAATTTATCTTTTTGGTATAATCCTAAGAGTGTGTTTGATACGAGGGATTTGGGAGGGAGGGGAGGGATTTTAAATATGTCCTCTTGATTGGCAACACACAAATTTTAGGAGGGGACTAAGTATTTTTGAGATGATGTCAGAGATGCAGCTAGTTATCAAGAAAGTAATTGTTATCTCATCTATTCACACTTCAAAACGCCTTGTAGTCTCACATTTTCTTCGTGGTTGATGTTAGAAGTAGTTTTGTGTCTTATACAAGGTTCTTGAATTCTCATTACACAGACAAAGATTGGTTCCATGTACATATACATTCTTATTGAACAAATCAAAATGAGAATAAAATGGAAGAATTAGAGTGAAGGGTTATGGGCCAGAGAAAATAAACCTGCAACATGGTGTACAAAAGATGAACAAAAAGTTGCACTCCAGAACAGAGCCATTAAAATTTGAAAAGGCATGCAAAGAATCGATAAACAGTTGCTCCTGAATTCAAATGGTTAAGCCTTGCAATGAACTGTGTGGTTTGTTTCCATTTCGGATTCTAATCCCTGCTCCAAGCATACAGCAACAAAGAGAATCCGCCATTACTCCCGCACGACTTCGTCGATGAAGAGCACGAGCTCCTCCCTCCGTCACTGCTCTCCTCCGTCCACTGTAACACACTAGAGCTCGATGGCGACGCCGACAACGATGTCATCGATGGCGCCGTCGTCGCTCCCGACGGCAGGCTCTTCCTCATTAACTTCTTCTCTGGACCCACCATTTCCGGCAGCACCCCGCCGTCTCCTACTTGAAACACGAAAACACCATGGCCGTTATTGCTGTTCACCCAACTGAACACATCCCAGAAGAACTCGACTTCAATCCCATCGATCAAGATTCTCTCATTCCCTCTGAATTTCCAGGACAGCCTTTTCACAACCAGACTAGTCTGGCCATCCACTTTTACTTTGAGCACACCCTCATCGCATTCGATTTCTATTTCGTGTTTGGACCCCAAGAATTGAGCTAGCGATTTGTAGCTCCTGCTTCCGAACACATGTTCTCTCCTGGACAGTAGAACCGGTTCAGGGGGCTTGTGGGTTGTGATCAGCCTGTTGGAACGCCTTGTCAAATCGTCGAAAAGATCACCGAGAAAGAATTCGAGTTTTCCATCCCTGACAACTGCCAAGTAGAAGCATGACTCTGGCTCAGCAGAGTTATGATTGTAATTTGCTCGAGAAAAGTCCCAGAAGAGCTTGATTTTCCGGACACGTTGGTGGGGCTGACTGAGATATATGGATTTTGATCCCGGTCGTGTTTTGAAGAGAGAAAAGGTTGAAGGGTTGAGAGAAACGGTGATGGAGAAGATGTCCGCGGAACATAAGAGTAAGGAACGAGAGAAAAGTGTGCTGGACCAACTGAGGGTGAGATAGGTCGGTGAATTGCATAGTTGGGTTTGGTATGTACAGGTTACGAGATTCTGAGGCACTTGAGAGATGCTTGATGGTGAGCCGGGTTGGCTGAAACAACCTTGGATCATGTTTTCTCTCAAATCATATGCGAGAGCTAGCTTTGCTTGATTATGGGAATGCGGTGTGTTCTTGCCTTGGCCTTGCGGAATAATAATTCCAAGAAGCGGCTTGTTAAATTTTGGCTTTTTATACTTGTGAGCATGGAGTGTATATATATATATTTTTTCTTTGTAGGTTTCAAAAGGACATACTCCTCCGGTCCTTTATATAGGACCCAATTGTTGAATTAGTTTTGGTCCTAAATATAAGACCCATATCTCATATTTATCAATTTTTTCTAAATTACCCCTATGGATACTCCCTCAATCATAACCAAATAGAAGAGAAAGAAGGGTATTAAGAAAGATGATTATGGTATTTTAGGAAAAACGTATCACATTTCTTATAATTAACTAACTTACCTAACTTCCTTAATCTAATCAAATTAGTGAAATGGGTCTTATATTAAGGACCGGAGGAGTATTATTTATTTTTAGATAAGATGTGGGCAAAAGTGAAGTGCTTTTGAAACTTTTCAATGATGGAAACACAAGGCTAGTATCCGCCACAATCATCAGGTCCAGTTGCTATGCTTTGCCCATACAGTTCACTGGTTCAATTTTCCTCCCTTGATTTGCGCCTTTGACGAGGCTCTGATGATGCCTTCTGTTTTATGCTAATGAGCTGGTTTGCATTGTTCCTTTCCAAGTCACCATAATCAGTACTTGTGACTTCGTGATTTTCTAACATGCTCCAAAGAACTCTTCTTTTGTTTATTTTCAAAATTTTTTATTCCCTAGGATAAGGGACGTGCTCCTAAAAGAAAATAAAATCATATTAGAAAATCAAAAAGGAAACCTGCTGGTATCACGGTACCCTGGGAACCAATTCTGAAGCTGCTAAGTTCTACTACTTTCAATCCTTAATATAAGACCTTGTTTGACTTTTATTTTGATCCTAAATATAAGACCCCAATCCACTTTGTCTCTCATATTTATATATATTTTTCTAAAGTAGCCCCTCTAACAATGATAGTTCTAGTCAATACACTTGATTGGCAAGGATATTTTAGGAAAGACAACACCTATTTAGGACAAATAACTAACTTAACTTACTTTCTTAATCTCCTCAAATTAATCAACTGACTCTTATAATTAGGACCGGAGGTAGTATTAGAAAATGTTGAAAAACGATTCAAGTGGACCAGCAGCAGGATGCGAATTTCCCATTAGCTGGGTTCAAATTTAGAACGAAGAGTTCGGCCCCTTTTTCAAAGTCCACAAATTTCGTCTACAAGTTTTTGTGCAATCCAGTATGACTTCGTATTTCTTTTGCCGCGTTATAAATTTCTGATGCATTTAAAAATTGAAAAGGTTAACGGGCAGCTAGTCAATAATGTGCTGTTGGAGTGGGGGCATGGTAGTATTCAAATTGAGGAGTGTAACCCACATTTGTACGTTCCCCGCTTTGCACTTTACTCGCTTTCTTTATTGCGAATTTCACCGATCCGAAATTGGTAGTTTTTATGTGAACAAGAGATGTTTGAAATTTAATCCAATGACATTCCCTGTGAATAAGAAAATACCTCAACAAAATGATTGGCCAGGCAAACTGATTCTGAAACTTATCAGTAGCGGTGCTTCTATGGTCCCACTAACTAAAAACGCTTCAAAATATTGCCCTCGCGTTGCACAATTCTCTTTCCTCAGGGAAACTCTCGCTCGCATGATGGTTTCATGCGTGCAATCTAATTCATGCAATTTCTTGCTCGTATGGAGACCACGAATAAATCTCTTTTTGGCTTTGAACGAGCCAGGAAAAGATGACCTTTGACAAGACTTTGAATTTCAAAGTCTTGGTTATTTTTCAGCTGTGTTAAAGAAAAATCTTAAGTATAATATAGAAGAGCGTGTATATTCCCGGACGATGCACGCATAAATCCAAACTACTTAAAAACCATACATCTGCAAAGGTCTGGCATCATCAGAAGAGGTTATATTTGGGTTCAATGTGTGACGTTGGTGAGTTACAGAGAGCATTAGATCATACAGAGGAGACCCGAACTACAAGAAAAAATGAAAAATATACAAGCACGTGAAGTCAATGCAAGGAACAAAGAAAATAAAAGAGCGAAACCATTGGTTCAATTGAATCCCCTAGCTCGCCGAAGGAAGACCAACGCTGAACATTCAAACAGTAAAAGCCCCCAAAACAGAAAAGGCTTGTATACTAGTTTCTGCTTCTTTCACCTGACTGCCATGAAAACTACATTACCATCCGATTATATGTATTACCTCCCCGTGATCTGAGAGTACGAGGTTTTGGTGTATGAAGAACAGCAGAACTAAATGTCATAACGTAGGAAGGAAGGCCTTGTCTGCATGCTTGTGATTCTTGGCAGCAATAAATGCTTCTGTCGTGTCCTGAGTTGCCTATGTGTTGCAGATAACCTTTATCTGTCTTATGAATGAAATGAAAGAGAAAATTACACAGAGTTAGGCAGGAAAAATAAATACAGATAGAGTCCAAAAATCTTATATTTACAAGATAAACTCTGCTATTTACAAGTCAAATTTAACAACTTCTATTTATAAATCAAGCTTGCATATTTACGAGTCAAGCTTGTATTTGTGTGTGTTTTTTTTTCCTAGGGCCTATGATTAATTCTCTTGAAATCAAAAGAGCCCCACTGCTCCTGACCAGCAAAGCTTGAGTCCTAAGTTTATGGACGAAATTAAATAAATAAATAAGGGGTGTGGATGCTTATTTGTCGTCCTTCAAGCTGTGAGGCCGTGAAGTTGGGTAGGCCTTTGTGGAAAGGGCTTCTTTTGGGCCTATATATGCTGTCCAGCTTAGGAATTGGATCAAAGGACCTCTCTTAATACTGTTTCGGCTTGTGACCATAAACTGATCATCGTGTGATGCAGCTTGTAGCGGAAACGGTATGATTTAGACATGACGGGGAGCATCATTAGGCTAAAACGAGTGGTATATGCGTATTGATTAAAGAGGAGGAAAGAAGGTCACTTTCGTTATTGGAGATTACCTTAACAGGGTTGGAGTAAAGTATGTGAGGACAAACCTAGAAGCTGATCACACATTAATTTTTCCTTTTGACCGTTTCTTCTTCTTTTTGCGTCTGCGATATCGTCAGAAGATAGGCAAATTAAGGACGGATGATGGCAACTTTATGGGGCAATATAAAAGAGCAAAGTAACCAACAAGTTGGTCTAAGTAGAAAAGATTTGGGTACTTTAAATATTATGTTGAGTTTGATTCTTGGGACAATGTGTGTAAAAAAACACTGTTAGAAAGAATCCCCATTACAACACCTGACAACATTCTGAGATATTAGTATTTTATTGTTTGGATGGGAGGATACTTTGGTAACCAAAAAAAAAGAGTAAAGTAAATACAGAATTGGCCAAAAAAAAAAAGCCACTCCATTCTTCACGGCTTGCCACTTTTCCTTCTTTTTCCTTGTTCACTAGTCTCTTTTCCACTGTCTCATTTTTCACTTTACTGCTCGTGACAACGACACCCCCTCCCCTTCTCCACGCAAATAGATAAAATATTCAATTTTCACTGTACACATCGATTATAATATTTTTAAGGGAAAACATCTCCAAAGAATTAATTAATGTCATCTGGATTTTTAATTAAATTAGGTGATCATTAGCAGATACAAAAAAGGGACATCAACATAACCCCTGAACCCATTACGTGAGATATGAGATAGACTCACGCAAACATCTTCTGATGATCATGTGTTTAGTGCGTCAGCTTGCATTGATAAATAGAGAATATTGGAAAATGGGAAATTTTATTGGTATGCAGGATGTTACTGACATAAAAAAGAAATGTCGGAAACGAAATTAAAACAGTCTCCGGATTTGACAGAATTTTGGCGTATGTTTTTTTATAAATTATACCTGAGAAGGGATCCCCGCTTATTTGTTTATATTTTTTTTTCGGCCAAAGTTATTTGTCCGTATTAGTTTATCCGTATTTGGCACCGAAAATGGTGCAATGAACGCATATGATATGACTTTTATATCTGTACAGCTATGGAATGTGCTCATCACGTAAGTCAAAAGTCAAGGCCTGCTCATTTCTCAAAACTCCGTTTCTTTTAATTTTGGTGATCCTAATATCTATAGCTTAATTAGGACTCTATTACTCATTATTGTTGTCGTATTTACGAATTATTTTCTCTCGGCGAACTCCCAAGATTATCTTCAAAATCATGGATAAGATATATAAATAGACAATTAGACATATTAAATTGCTATGATCTGAGATTGCTAGGACCGATAATCATGTTTTGGGCATGAAATTAAAAACAAGAAGGGACGACATTTTGGCGTAAAAGAAAGTTAAGTACAAGGAAATGAACGGACAGACTTGAAAAACAAGGAGGAGACACGTAGACATAACGCATAGGATGCTTAACAGTAACGAGATGAGTATTGAGGACTCTTTTTTTTTTTTTTTGGTGGTTTGCCCTTCTTGCTCCGGTGGGCAAAGGAACGTCGACACGTTAATTATTCAAGCTTTCCTTTCCCGTGTGCGTGCGGATAAATTGAGAAACTATCCAATTTCAATAAATAATTGACATTAATTGTGCATTTTTTTATATCTCCCCATGACTGCGTTGCGTCGGTCCAATTATGTTACGCTAACTACAAAAGGTTCGATTTATTTAATATTTTTCGGTAAACAATAATTTGTCTTCGATTATCTTTCACACGCATATGCATATGAGATTTGCACGTGACGATGGTCCCCCGCCCCCACATTGCGCCTCCAATAATATTAATGTGGTTACATGCTCTTGTTTTCCCCATTACAGCTCAGCATTCTTATGATAATTTTTCAAATTTTCGGAGGCTTTTTTTAAGGAAATTAATCCATTTATAAGATATTATAAATAATCAATCGAAATAGAAATATAAAATGGAACCAGATTCAATACTCATTACCTTGATGAGCACCCTAAGCTCATCAGGTATGGACGATTTATATCCGATTTGAATGGTTTATATTTAAAATATTTAATTAATTATTTTTAAATAGAAAAATCTACTTCTTGAAAGAATGATAGTTAAGAGATTATTTTTATTTTAGATTCTATATATATTAAAATAATCATTTTGAACAAATAAAAATAAAAAAATTAAATCTGAACTATCCAAATAAGACATAGATAGTATAGATTTAATAAGTTTAGAGTACTAAAATTGGTTTCAATATAGAATAGAGGCATTTGCAGCTACAGATCCTGATAAGGTTCGAAATTTGAAAGAATAACTTCCAGCCTAAGATGTGTTTCGGCAACAGATTAACACGAGAATAATGATTGAATCAAGTTGAAATGTTTTTAATGGGTTTTTTTAATAAAAAAAATCATGGCAATGAATAATTGAAATAGCCGAAACATATAACATAAGCTTAACTTTTCAATATACTAGATGTCCTAATTTAGATTTTTATTGTCGTTTCATACAATCAAAAAAAATATTTTTTAAAGTGAAGTAATCATTAATCTTCAAGTCATCACAAGCACTCAAAATTTCAACTCTTTTTTTTTTTTCCAAAAATTCTGTTAGTTATTACCATCAGAGTTTTTGTTGTTTCGTATAATTAAAATTATTTCTTAAAATAAAATAGTTATTTTGATCGATGTTAATACAACCCGTTCCTAACAATTCTCAAGTCACAGATATGTAAATGAGATAATTTCATTAAAAAAATTGAAATTATTACATCCGATCTTAAATGAGACTTGATAACAATATTTTTGTAAGTTTTGACAACACAAATAACAATATATTTTTATTGAAATTTATTATTTAGAATTTAGTAATTTTAAAATTTTTGGTGAGATTCGTCCATATAAAAAAAACAATATGATGGATGTTCATCATCTAAACTTATTAGATTTGTACTGTTCAGATGTGACAAAAAAATATAATGACAATATGATCATTCCGTAATAGAAATTAATGCTAAAAAAGTCTCTAAAAATTTATTTTTTTAAAAAAAGACCATTTCGTGTTATTTGAGAGATATTCTTGCGTTATGGTCGCCTGAAATTTAATATGGCAGCGGAACGCATGGTATTGGCAAGTGAGGATGGGCAGCAACGCAACACGTGCAGACCACACATCGTCCTCTCCCACACTTCGCAATCGCCCGTGTCCATGCATCCTCCAGCCGTATTCCTTTCCTTCAACCTCAAAGTTCAAGTTTTGGTCCCAGGGCTCAAGTCCTGTTTGCCTTCTTCGTCTGTTCTTTTCTTCTCCTTTTGATTTCGTTCAAAGAATTTTTCTTTTGTAAATTGACATACTTAAATTTTATACCACAATAACTTGTGTCCTGAGAGAAAAGATCTCAAAGTCCGTTTATTTTGACATTTTCATGAGCTCAAAAAAATATTTATACATCACAAAAATAAGTGTCTTGCTCATCGTGTCGTTTGTTTCGTCCTTAACGTCTTCATTTCAAAAACATAATCCTCTATTATATACTACTTTCGGTCTTTAATATAAAATCTTGTTTGACTTTTATTTTTGTTATAGATATAAGACCGCAATCCACTTTATCTTTCATATTTATGTATTTTTTTTAAGATAATTATTCTACCAATAATAGTTCTAGCCAATACACTTTATTAGTAAGGATATTTTAAGAAAGACAATAATCATTTATTACAAATAACTAATTTAATTTTTTTTAAATTTTTTTAAATTAATTAATTAGCTCTTATAATTAAAACCGAAAATAATATTATGGTGGATTCAAAATTGCAGCCACATGACATAATCCTGTCGCACCATTGATCCAAAAACAAACGCGCGCGTAGCTCACGGGAGCCCAGTTGTCCACTTCTGTGCAGGAATGTTATGGTTGTTATGTGGGTTGAATAAAGAAAATATGTCTTGCCCAAAAAAACAAAAGCAGAGAGAGAGATAAAGGAAGTAGTAGAAAACTGAAGCTGCAATGAAATATCAAGAAGCTTTCAAGAAAAATAGTAGGAGATTGACTTCCACGTATTCATTTACTTCCTCCGCTCTTAATTATAAGAACTAGTTAACTAATTTGAGAAAATTAAAGAAATAAGTTGAGTTAGTTATTTGTTCTAAATAGGTATTGTCTTTCCTAAAATATCATTACTAATCAAGTGTATTAACTAGAACTGCCATTATTAGAAGGACTACTTTGAAATAAATAAATAAATATGAAAGATAAAGTTAATTGGGGTCTTATATTTAGAATCAAAATAAAAGTCAAATAAGATCTTATATGAAAGACTGGAGATAATATATTTGATGGGGGGTAAGAGAATCGTTTATGTTGTTAGTTATGATCACAAATAAGAAGAAAATCCAAGGAAAAACCCGGGACTGAGAATTCCAATTACTGCTATTTGTGTGAAGGTGAAGCAAATTATGGGAATAAATAAAATCCACGAAATCCACGACCCCCCCGGGGGGGGTTGTCCCTGCATGGTGTATACGGGAGGCGGCGTAAGATTAGGCGACTCTACCAAATCCAAACAATTACCCCGAGGAAGCAATCACATTGTATATTACAGTCCTGTCTAATGAATCTCTAATAAGGAACATTTTTTTTAGTAAAAAAAAAAAGCCCCAAAAATAAACAGGTTGTTTGATGACAATGACGAGGTTTGTTAGGCACGAACCACGAATGAATCTGTCTCTGAGATCGTGTATGCATTCACTCCCCCTAGTGGTGGCCGGTGGGGTTCCATTTCCTAGCAACCGTTCCTCAATTTCTCATCTTGATATTTTCTCCTTTTCTTTTTAGCGACCAAATTTCATTTTATTCACACGCCCCCCAAAAACAGCGTGCTAAGAATAAATTCCAATTCACAGTTACGGACATGGTGATATCTTGATTTTAGTCCGAATTGGCCATGAAACTTCGTCGAGTTCTAGGTTCTCTTCCTCTATTATTATTCATTTGGATTTGTCGCGTTAAAGGAAGTCCACTCAGTGAGAATACGAGAGATAAAGAAAAGATGCTCTTGTCAATGTAAAATAATATTCACGCCTCAGACTTCCAACACCAATGCTTGTATTTCCCATTTTCTTACACATTGTCCCCCCCCCCAAAAAAAAAAAACCTTCTCTTGTTCTCCGGTGTTCTTATTCGGCCTATCACCGCCTGCAGCTCAATTTTCATTTTATTTCTTTGCTTCTTCAGTGAACAGTAATTTTTCATTGTGTGTTTCTCTCACTCTTTCTTGTTTTCTTCTGTTTTCGAATTTTTTATTCGTTAGCAGGGGCCTTGACAGTGAAACAAGTCTGCTTTTTGTCTGCTTCTCCCTGCGCTGTTTTTCTCCCCCTCATTCTCCAAATTTGCCTTCTGTTTTCACGCGCCTCTCCTTGCTCTTCCCTGAATTTATACTCCTGGGTCTCTCCGGCAATGCATCTATTACGCACATCTCTTTTTAATCAGATCATCGTTCTAAGCATATAGCGAGCCCTGTCTGATGCGTCGTACTCTTTCTCTGATCAATTAAGGTACGAGCCCCTCTTAACTTTGATTCTCGCTTATCTGCAACTTCTGTCTATTCCTCAGTACTTTTGTCCGTTCCTTGTTCCGGCCGCAAAAGGCACACCATCTGTTTGACAAAAAGCCCAAACGAAAGCTTGGAAGGCAAATTGAACTTCGTCTTTCGAAAATGAGGGATTTCCCTTCTTGTTTTGGTGAAAACGGAGTCCAGATTGCCGATTCTTCGTCGTCCAACACCGGCAAAACTGCCCAGAATCTGGTTACTTGTGTTTATCAATGCCGAATACGGGGCCGGTCTTGCCTGATTACTGTCACGTGGAGCAAGAACTTGATGGGGCAGGGCCTCAGCGTTGGGATCGATGATTCTTCAAATCAATGCCTTTGTAAGGTCGATATCAAACCATGGCTATTCTCGAAGAGAAGAGGCTGCAAGAGTCTAGAAGCTTATTCCTGCAAAATTGACGTATACTGGGACCTCTCGTCGGCTAAATTTGCGGCGGGTCCTGAACCATTGGAGAAATTTTATGTAGGAGTAGTTGTAGATCGACAAATGGTTCTCCTTCTCGGTGATTTGACGAAAGAAGCTTTCAAGAAGACCAATGCTATACCGTTGCCCTCAAATGCAGTTTGTGTAGCCAAGAGAGAACACATTTTTGGCAAGAAAGTGTTTGGTACCAAGGCGATATTCTCTGACAATGGTCAAGTTCATGATCTGGTGATCGAATGTGACACTATCAGTGTGAGTGATCCGCGTCTTATAATTCGTATAGACGGCAAAACTGTGTTGCAGGTGAAGCGACTGAGGTGGAAATTTCGTGGAAACCATACTATTTTAGTAGATGGTGTTGCGGTAGAAGTTTTGTGGGATGTCCACAATTGGCTATTTGGTTCATCTCTTGGGAACGCTGTGTTTATGTTCAGAACATGCCTTGCTGCTGATAAATTGTGGAATAGCCAACCCGTTTCTGATGCAAACCTGTTGCAGTGGTCTTTCTCTCAAAGATTTTCAGAGAGCAAATTGCAGAGTCTAGATTTCTCCCTCGTTTTGTATGCCTGGAAGAACGACTAGAGATGCGGGATTTCACAATCCATTCATTACTAACAAAACATCCAGTGAGTTGCGATTTATTAGTGATTTGTTTGGGTTACACCTTGCTTAAACCAAATCAGTTATCTGAGCTTAGTTGAACAGATCAGAAACATTTTTTCTCCAATCGGCTGTATATTCTTCAAGTGTTAATTTAATGATCATTATCAGACCAGTTATATGTTGCGGAGTCCTCTTATTTATGTTTAACATGTTCTCGTTCTTTCTTAATTAATATTTATTTCCATTTCTTATTCATTGAGAACTTATATAATCAATAATATAAGGCTGGAACGGCAAACTTGCACTGAAAATTTTCTGGCCAACCTGATGAGGTACTATCAGCTCATGTTAACCTCAGATGCAACTCAAGACTACCTATATCGGAAGTCTGCCGTTCTATGATGATGATTTTCTCAGATGCAAGTCAGGACTGCCTATATCAGGTGCCTGCCGTTCTGTGATGATGATATTTTCAGATCTCTGATAACCTTTCACGTATGTTCTATGATTCTGTGATCCAAATTATGCAACAGGTGTAAACGTTCTGATTACTAGAAATTACGATATTATTTTTCAAGACCACGCAACTGCTACTTCAGTTGCTAACCTTATGGAGAAGAATTGTTGACCACAAATTGACTCATTAGAAGTTGCGCAGTAATTTCCATTTAGTCCGCCGGATTATTGTTTTTGTATTATATTTATGACAAAATTAATAGTAATATGCAAGTAGTAAGTTCATCTTACAGCGCAGACACTTGCCTCTAATGCATGATGTCTGGCATACTGTGATTTGTCGGTACAATCTGTTGGTAGAATATTGCAGATTGTGGAAAGAAGATAGAGTCATGCCTGTTGGATTAGCTTCCGTTTCTTTTGTAAACGTGAGAAGGAAATGCATATGTAAGAGCCTTGTCGAAAAAGTATGTCTACTCTGCAATGCATGGTTGGTTATGCAGTCTCGTTAAATATAACCCCTGTATTTGCTATGCTTTTATTATTGTCACAAATCTCCAGCACAAGCTATGACAGTTACATCCTTGTTGATCCTTCGAAGTCAATCAAAAAACTTATGGTTGCTGAGAACTACTTACCATGTATTATTCTATAGACCAAAACCGCAGGTGTTCCCTGCCAACTCCCTAGTAAACTTGAGGGGTTTTAATAATGGCAAGAGGCTGGATCCAATGAAAAGCTTGTCTAGAATGCCCTGCAAAATGCGAAGATGCCCATGAAAAGCCGAAAAGAATTAGGGTGGCTCCGCGGGTCAATGGGAATGAACTTCGTCTCGAGATAAAAGTACGAGGCAATATGGTCATTTCACGACATGCTGATTGCGGCAGTACCGTCTGAAAACAAATGCAGTTTGCTGTGGAAGTCAAAGCATATAAACAGTGAGAAATTGTCTCGGGGAAGAGGGAATATTAGTGCAGTCATTATCAGCGGAATTGAGAGGATGAAGGCAAGAGGTACGGGAATCTTGTTGATGTGTGTCAGCGTACCAGCCATCCAAGGGTATGATGACGACCTTCCATCAATCTTTCTGTATGACACGAAGCCGATTCTGTCAAGAAAGAATAGCGTGTGCTTAGAAGGAGATCGAAACCGTTAGTTGCGATGCCATTTGCATTAATGTCCCCTCGCGTCCCCAGCGCTCCCGACAATTCCCTCTCCCAGCAACAATCAAAAGGATGAAACAAATCGCATTCATTCATTCCTAAACGTCAACTGTCAGTCTTCTGCTTCTCAAAATTCTCTCCTTCAATGTTTTTTCTGGAGGTTGTCGTCCATCGCCAATCATCGCCCACTCAAATTCAACCCCAACTCCGTCATCTAATTCAAACCTTTTTTTTTCCGGTTAATGTGGAATTCCATCCACAGCTCTTATTTTCAGGCCCAGGCTGCTACACATCGCTGACTACCAACACTACACTAAGCCACAGTTCAATTGGCGGCCCCTTTCCGTATGAGACCTTACACAACATCTATGAGATGACAGTATAATTAATCAACCACCTCAGCACCAAACATAAACGACTATATGCGATGTATTGCCACGTCAACAGTGAGAATTATAGACAACTCATCTATCCGACAAAAGCCTAAGCCCGGTTCCTCACAAAAAGGGAAAACAGAAAAGCACAAAAAAATACCTGAAGCCTCGTTAGCAGTGGTCTTTTATTCAGAAAACAAGCGCATATATCACCATATGCCATGATAAATATACCATGTCAACACAGGGACAACATAAAGGATGTCATCAAAAGAATCCCAAGGCTCCATCCTAGTACTAGGATTCTAGGTAACTCAAATATATGACAAGCCTACGCCACGAAATTCTTCAATAGTCGTCTTCCATTGTTTTGGCTGCCTGCCGCGTTTTCAAATTTATCCAGGGAACCAAGAACCCAGAATGCATGTCCAACATGAAAAAGATGAGAGGTGATAAAGGATATTGGGGCTTGGGAATTCAGATAATAATCCGCCACAAAGGACCAGAGAGGCCTTGAACCGATCATTAACCGAGATGATTCATATCAGTAGGACCCTTTCATACAGTACTCGCACATAATAAGGGTCAGTATTCTCTGTCAAACATTATCATAAAAAACAGAACATGGACGCAGGACATTAGAAGGCATAGAACTAAATAAAATCGGATCTTGCGTCTTTCAATGAAGGTCCACACTTTAAGTATGGCCGACAAGTTTTTTAATTTTAAAACGGACAAGCCAAATTGACCGGTACTTCCGAAATATGAGTTGATGAGGCTGCTAATAATCACTGTCAACGTCAAAAAGTGGGCTAAAGAACAAGAGGTTTCAAGAGAAAGGCTTGCATCAGGAAGACAACGTTAGACCCTTCAAGACTGTTGTAACCTGAGGAAGCTTGTCAGGAGCCCTCTGCTTATAATCCTTCTCCAACACTTTGGCCGCTAGAGATTGTACTTGTGATTTATCCTTGTCTTCCTTGCTCTTCCCTCGCGTAAGCTGCACAATAGCAGAAGTACACTGGAAAGCAGGAGCAAACTAAACGATTCAGGCTTAGAAATAAAAGGCTTTGAAGAGAAAGTTCAGAAATCCCAAGTTCCTGAGTAGATTTTAGTTCCTACATTCCAGACAACTTTCAGAATGCTTATGTTTAGCATCATAGTATCTAAGATGCTTAATGCCATCCGAGATATAAGCTGGCACAGAATAACACTATTTTGAGTGGTATCTCATACTAAAAAAAATCATAAGAATCTCACATCAAACCAGCTTCTAGCATTTTTATCAATAAAATATCAAATGTCTTCTTTCTTGAGAACTTTCAATTGCCTTACCAAATATAAGTACCAGAATATCATGTTATCTCGCTGCTTGCTATCCAAGATATATGTAAGACAGTAGTTAATCACACAGCTTTATATTTTCCCAGTGGGAATTAGCTACTGATCAAAGAAAATATGAATTCTATCAATGACAAGCTGAATGGTGACTTCAATTATAACTAGGAGAATTGGGATGTTCAGAGGGAAAGAGGAAGAAGAAAGGGAGCAGGAGCTCACCAAGCAAATACCAAAGAGTGCCCGGGTATTCTTGCCTCCCGTCAAGTCTATAGCGGATGCATAGTATTTCTTAGCAGTCTGGAGGTTTTCTAACCCACCAAGCGTATAGAGTACCTATCAATGCCAGAGGTCAAGATTATGCTTGAGATTGATAATCAGCTCCCATTCATCTTCAGTATGCAGTACCCTCTTCTTAACAATAGAGAAGGAAAAAGAAAGGGAGTAGAATTTAATCAAAATAAAATAATTGATTATTTGTGGGAAAAAATTGCTTACATCAGCGTAGGCCAAGTGGAAGAGTGGAACAGTAGGTTGAGATATAATTAATTCTTCATAGCAAAATGAAGCTTGTTTGTACCTAACAACAATAAGGCAAAAATTAGAACATAAATCCTTTAAGGTACAAGGAAGACTCCTTCAAGTTCGAAGCCCCTTTTTGAGTAGGTAGAAAAGAATCCTACATTTGCAGGGAGATGTATAATTCTGCAAGTTCTCTCCATGCATCATGATCTGCCATGAATCTGTTAAAATGACAGAAGAATTCAGGTCATTTTTTATAGGATGTAAACTGGGGAAAAAAAATTCTCCCTTTCACCCTCAATTTCAGTGAAAAATAAATAATCAGCATCTCTCTCACGTTTCTAGATATTTATTAAGCCATTCAATAGCCACCGAAATGTTGCCCTGTGACTTTGCCATAGCTACCCTCCTCTTGTGGATGATCTGTATCCCCCAAAAAAGAAAAAGTTAGGTCCTCTTTTCTCAAACATGATTAAGGATAAAAGTGAAAATATTCATCCATCAAAACAATAACATGATGAAAAGTCATTTTTTAAAGCTTTTATCACACAGAACAATCATAAACTAATGGGTTGATCCCTTTTGTTTTGTATATTTTTTCTTCTTATAAGGTTAAGTGAGTTACTTGATCAAGAGGATTATCCTCTAAAAAGCTTGTGTAGGCCTTTTCCGCTTCATCCCATGATCCTTTTGCTTCAAGCAACATTGCCTCCAGCCTACCTGCACTTTGTCCAAAAGTAATAAGCCACCAAAACTCATTCGATTTTAGAGGTAACATACGCCATCACATTCCTAGACAAACTTATATGAGCAGCTTCCAATGAATTCTATAAAACGAATGATTTGTAGATGGAAATGTAATTCATCTAATTATAATATGCACATTTCCCTAGAGGCTAAAAATAAAGCCTAGATGCACAGTGTAGATTTGCATAATTCACTTCATGTACAGGTGGGCAGGAATTGGTTGTTGTGGTGGAGAATTTCGGGTGGCACTAGTTCCTGTCATACGCAGTCATCTAGGACATCACAAACTGATGCACTGTAGGCGATGTGTAGATATGTAGATATTATATTCATAAAATCATGATGTTGTTGCATCAATATGTTTGTTTTTAGCCTACTGGCTGCCACATGGGTAGAACCACAGGAAGAAATGTCTGAATAATTAGGTCTCATTTGACCCCCAACCAAACGTCCAATAAGAGTTCATTCATTCGGCTTTGACACGTGTTCAAGTGGCTCCATTCTGGGTTCAGGGTAGTTCGCATAACTGTTTTCCCCTTAAACTACTATCCAATATGAAATATAAAAATATAAAGAAAATACACTACTCATAGTTAATGTTTGAGGAGGAAAAACACAGTCTTACAAAATCTTTCAAGGTATAAATCTATTCTGTGCATCAATCAGGAAAGGATAGATACTTAGCCACACATACCGATGTGGTGGCAAAAGCAAGGGTTTTACAGGTAGCATTATTTATTCTAAGTATCTCTTTTCCATACAAAGCTAGACACAGAAAGATACATCATTGACATAGACAAATCCCAACTTACCAACCCGTTTACTCTCAGGGAATCTCTTCTGGAGAACTTTTATACAGTCCTGAAAAAGGAGTAACTTTTGTCAAATGAAGGCATAACATCTCAAGGGTAGTTACTCATCATATATGTAGTAAAATGATGCAGAAGAATTAGTATTCAAGAGCCACAAAAACAGAGAACTGAGAAAAAATTTGACACACAGTCCACTCTGCAGGTTCAGAAATCATATCATTACAAGAATTACAACAATATATTTTGAAGGCAAACTTACACAAGAATCAGGATACATCATCACCAAAAGGCGATCATTTTTAGAACAAGCCTCTTATAATTACTTTAGAATTGGTAAAGACCCATCTTACAACCAGCAGAACTCCAGAATAGAAATGAAGAGGAAGAACCCAGAAAAGAAACAAGATTTCTAAATAATCCTTGCATAAGATTCCTAAACTAGCATATACAATGGGGAAATTTGTACCAAAATATACACCTTAAACTATACAAAGATAGGATATGACAAATTATTGAAAAACATTATGACTTACAAAAATATCAAATCAACTTAAAAAAATGATAGAGCCTTCACTACCTGGGCAAACATCAAGATTGTTGGCAATCCATGCTGCAACTGCAACCTGCTCATCCCAAAGTCCATTCTGCATCAAGGAGCAATTATTTATTTGCTAAAAGTTATATTAGATAAGATAAGGGTTGTGAGAGAAGGAATAATTAAATTAATCTACCATCAGAAAATGCAATATGTAGCTCGAAAATTGTCATGATCACCGCACATTAAACAAGTTTTTAGATAGCTTCAGTATATGTGAAGATGGCTCACTTCTCAAGAATGTTCGTGGTACTATTGGGGAGGGTGAAGTCACAGAATCAACTAAGTTTCTCTCTCACAAAAAGTTATGAGGGGGCAAAATAGTCACATTGCTGATGCATATTAAACAACAACAAAATTCTCAATGCTCTTGATTCATCATTATTACCCCAGCCATAGGAACCAACTTGGCACAACAAATAAGACGTAGGATTAATTCTTGATTTGTCCCTTTGAATTTCATTAGGTTGGAAGAACAAATTTAGTATAGTGGAGAGACAATTCATTTGTTCCCTTTTGATAACAGTTGATAGCATGCAACTCTC